CCGCCACCACACCCGGCTAATTTTTTGTATTTTTAGTAGAGACAGAGTTTCACCATGTTAGCCAGGATGGTCTCGATCTCCTGACCTTGTGATCTGCCTGCCTCGGCCTCCCAAAGTGCTGAGATTACAGGCATGAGTGACCACAGCCAGCCCTAGGCTCTTCTTACCTGGCCCCAGATCCCTTCCCAGCACCAGACCCAGGGTCATTAGCCTCAAGATCTGCTGCCTCCCTGGCCTCTCCGTGAAATGCCCAGAACGAGGGCCTGCCCATCTTCTCCCCCATTTCCCTAAGGCCACAGCCCCCACTGTCCCCATGCCTTTCCCACTTCCCCGTGGGGACAGTGAGGGCTGTAGCTGTAGGGAAATGGGGGAGAACAGGGGCAGGTGGGCCCTCAGAGACCAGAGACCTGCTGGACAATAGGCCCGAGGCTGGGCCAGGCATCCCCTCACCCTGTGGCCACAACCCTTGGATCTCACTGGGTTGTCTCCAAGTAGACAGGGCCAACCCTCAGGCTGCCCCGCTCCTCTTGTGCTGACTTGGAGACAGAACTGCTGAGAGTCCAGGGGCCTGACCTAGCCCAGTCTCCATTCCCACCCGCTCCCTAGATGGGCCCCGCACCTCTGGCCTAACAACAACCTCGGGCTGGACCTGCAGGGGAGCCAGGGAGGAATTCTGACCCTGGAAAGGAGGTTGGCCCGACCTGGGGAGACATGTCCTGCCTCAGAATGGCCTTCCTAAAAGCAAACCCATCCCTGAGCTGAGACAGGTGATTTAGGGGCTGAGGGGAGCACAGAGGACTCACTGCAGAATCCCAAAGTGATCAATGTTGTTGTAGATTCCAACAGGCTCAGGCCCCATGTCCTCTGGCAGCCCAGCTCGGTGTCCCTGTAACCCAGAGGCAACCTTGGTGAGGGGTCCAAGGTAAAGGGTGCAAGGGCCTGGGGGTAGTGGCCACCCGTGCCCACCCTGTGCTCCTAGAGAGCCCAGGACCCTTTGACCAGGGCGCACTGGAAGAGGCCTCCCTCCAAGGAGCAGACCGACCTGTACCTTCTCATACTTCATAATGATGTCCTCTCGCTCCTCCAAAGTATCTGCGTTCTCTACTATGTCCATCCTGTGAGACAACAACGTCTAAAGGTTACACTGTACCTGAGAACTTCGGCGAACACCTGAACTGCTCCTGCCTGGCTCCCAGATGCTGCCTGGCTGTGTAACAGCCATTCCACCACTGCCCTCAGGTGAAAAGGGGCCAGACCCAGTGGCCCACACCTGCACGAGTCTCTGGAGTCTCAAGCCCCAGCAGGGGTGGGCATCTTCCCAAGGACTTGAGGACAGTGGGACCTGGACAGAGAATACTGTTGTCCCCAAATGCCATGAAATGGGGACACACCTGCCCTGGCAGTTTCAATGGTGTCCACCTGCCAAGGGTGAAGGGTCCATGATGGGCTATTCCAGGGATGTGGAGGCAGACTGGGGAGAGGGCCCAGAGGTCTCTGTACGATCTGCCTCCTGGGATGCTCAGGGACCACAGAGATGTCCAGTTTCCTACGGGGAACAAGATCTCTCCTGAGTACTCCGTTCTGCTCCACTCATCACTTGGGCTACCGTGGCCCTTCAGTCTGAACAGTGAAGCCACTTTAGGAACAACAGGTTTAGGGGATGAAAATAAGCTACTGTCTCCAAAGCAGTCTCTGTGCTCGTGGAAACCACATCTCTCGGGGAGGGTCTGTGGACTCCACCATTCTGAGGTGTCCATACAGGACGGGGCCTCATTGTCCTGGGTCACTGAGGAAGAACAGTGGCTCCTTGGTCCTGGGGAACACCTAGATACATCGTCCCTCCTGGGAACACTTGGGGCAAAAGGAGGGCAAGGCCTGGATAGGACCAGACAGAGAAAGAAATACTTGGGGACAACCCCAGTTCCTGGACCCCTTTGAACAGGATGGAAGATAGTCTCCCTCCAGCCAGCTCTCCAGGGCTGCTTCATTTTCCACAGCTGCTCAAAGGCAGAAGGCTCCCCATGCCACTCCCGGACAAGCGACTATGTGTGTCCAGTGGGTCTCACAGGGACCATCAGGACCCAGCTTAGGCCCCAGCTTAGGCCTCATTCCCACCCACAGTGGATCCATCCCAGTGGCTCTGCCAGGGCCAGGCTCTGCCCCCTCGGGATCAGAAACCCTGGACAGATTTGGGATCTAGGGCAGGGAGACCACAGGGTTCAGGCCTTAAGTCCAGCCCTGCACAGGGCAGGGCTGAGAGCAAAACCCAGGGTCATGTCAGGATTCCCGGGTCGATACCGCCTCTGACACCAGACGTCTGTTGTCAAATGGGTACACTTGGGAACAGCACCTACCCTATGGAGACACCATGAGGACGAAAGAGACAATCGTCTACACAGGCAGTGCAGAATGGGTGCCCGGTGAGTGCTCGGGATGACCCTCCTCAGCAGGTGCCCAGAGGCCAACACAGCCCACCCCATAGCCATTGTCCCCAAGTCAGCATGGAGGGAAGAGAGCAGGTCACACTCACCTGATTCTGATGAATCAGCTGGCCTGTGTTACGCCTCTCAGGGAGAAAACCTTTGAGTTCACAGAGCTGCTCCAGATACCACTGTGTGTGTGTAGCTGCTGTAGAACACAGAGGCAGGCCGGAGAGCGGATGGGTGCTAAGCACCAGAGACATTCTGAGGTCATGGCACGCATCACAATGGGGCCTTGCCTGGGTCAGCAGGGCCCAGAGTCAGCATCCTCCACTGCCTGAGGCATCAACATGCCTGCCTACAGTGTGTATGTGCACACATGTATGTGGGTAAACACGTCTGTGCATGCGTGTATTGCTTCTCTTGCCATGCTTGGCTGCCCCACTCATGTGCACCCAGTTCCTCATCACTGTTGCCCCCAGGGCCCAGGGCCAGAATCAGATCATCCATGGGTGCTCCCTGACCTCAGCCCTCCCCGCCCAGGGTGGTCCTGAGACACACATGGGGTGGAGGGAAGTGACTGCTGCTGTTGAATCTCAGAATAAAAGTGCTAATACGATTACCTAATGCTCTTTTTAGTATCTCTAATGGTCTTTTCAAAATACTGTCACTAGTGGTATCTCTTTTTCTATTTCTGATATTTTAACTGGGTATTTCTCTCCACGACCCTTGGTTATTCCAGCTAGAGGATCCTGCGGGGAAAGTGCCCGGCACACAGTAGGGCCTCACTCTTCTAGACATGTTTTCTAAAGTCTGGCTCATCTGTCCTTCTACCCAGGGCCTAGGGGCTGCCAAATTCCAGGGAACAGAAAGAGCTTGGGATGAAAAGAACATGTAAGGGGAGGGCTTTGACCTGGGCTGAGTCTGCCTGTGCCATCCAATCCTAGAGCCTCAAATCCTGAGACAGAGTGTCCAGATGCCCCAGTGCAGGGCCCTCCTGATCGACACCTGTTTCCCTGTACTCATTAGCAACCTCACCCACCCTACTCTCAAAGCACACTTGGCCCTCATATCCGGAAGCTCTGCATCTGTGGATTTAGCTAAAAGCAGATGGAAAATATTCAGAAACGAAATTGGATGCTTATGATTCCACTGAACATGTGCAGACTTTGTTCTTGTCATCATTCCCTAAACAATACAGTATCACAACAATTTATGTAGCATCTACATTGTATTATATATCATCAATAATCTAGAAATGGTCTAATGTATATGGGAGGATGTGCATAGGTTATATGTAATTACTCAGCCATGTCATATCAGAGATTTGAGCATCCATGGATTTTGGCATCCCAGGCGACCCTAGAACTAATCATCCATGAATACCAAGGGATGACTGTATAAACTCACTCAGGAAGGCTTCTCATTGGAGGAAGGGCCCCGTTCAGGACAGACAGGGGCATCCTCCCTGGACTACTGTCCATTCATATACCCATTCACCCATTGGCCCCCCACTCTAGGACTGTCCCAATGACAGCCCGAGCAGGTGGAGACAAGAAAAAATACCAGCTCACGTTGTTCAGCTTTGAGGTCTTGGGAGAAGTTGCACCAGTGTGAGAATAGGGGGTCAGTTTCCTACAGGATCCAGAGAGCATATCAGGCAGCCTCGGGGTGAGGAAAGGAGCACGGCCTCTCCAGCAGCCGCACAGGCCTGCAGTAGGATGGGGCTGGGGCTGGCCATGTGGATCACTTGGGCCTCATGAGGGGAAAAGAAAGACCAGGGGCAGAGGAGAAGTATGGGGGCAGTTGGTGGCCTAAGGAGAAGGTGCTTCAGGGAAGGGGTCTGTATTAGTTTGTTTTCACACTGCGATAAAGAAATATTTGAGACTGGGTAACTTATAAAGGAAAGAGGTTTAATTCACTCGCAGTTCAGGGAACTTACAATCGTGGCAGAAGGCAAAGGGGAAGCAGCACCTTCTTCACAAGACGGCAGGAGGGAGTGAGTGGAGAACCCCTTCTCTAAGAGAATAAAACCTTTGACCACTGCTCTTCCTTAGTGGATTTTGTTTGTCTTCTGATGAACTGTGATGTCTTGTATATCATTTTCCTAGGCTCAAGGATCCACCAAAAGCTGATGCTTCTTTTGGGGAGGCTCTGCAGTGTCTTCTTCTCACCTGGCTCCCCGGGAAGCTTGTAAACTTGGTTTGCACCTTAAGCAGCCAGGTACATGCTAGGGCTCTGCTTCTCTCTTTCACTAAGAGGGAGAGCCAAGAAAGAGACTGAAGCATGCTCTGTAGAGAAGACACGGGTGCAAATGCCAGGAGAACGAGGGGCCTGAGTTGTCTTCATTCCCCTTAAAAACACGCATTCCCTCCCATGCCACCTTAGTGAGGACATGAAGCACAGTGAGTGTGTGTGTCTGTGAGTGTATGTGTGCAGGTATATGCACGTGTATACATTTATGTGTATGTGTGTGCATGTGCATGTGTGTATGCATGTGTACATGTCTGTATGCATATGTGCATGTGTGTGTGGTGCAGGGATATAAGGTGGACCAGACGTGGGAGCGCAGCTCCAGCTCCAAGCTGCACATCTCTCTGTTAGAATGGTTTAGATTCCCTGGACCACAGCAAGATAGTGTTTTCATGTGAATCCATTTTTCTTAGCATTGAAGCCCATATGTTTAGCAGCATGTAAACCTTAAGTTGCTTAACTATTCTTAGAAGCATTTACACCAGTGGTCCCCAACCTTTCTGGTCCCAGAGACCAGTTTCATGGAAGACAATTTTTCCACGAACCAGGGAGAAGGGGAAGGGATGATGCGGAGATGATTCAAGCCCATTACATTTATTGTGTGCTTTATTTCTATTATTACTTCACTGTAACATATAACGAAACAATTACACAACTCACCATAATATAGAATCAGTGGAAGCCCTGAGCTTGTTTTCCTGTAACTACATGGTCCCATCTGGGGGTGGTGGGAGACAGTCACAGATCATCTGGCATGAGGTTCTCATAAAGAGCACGCAGTCTAGATCCCTGGCATGCGCAGTTCACAGTAGGGTTCATGCTCCTATGAGAATCTAACTGCACCGCTCATCTCACACGAGGCAGAGCTCATGCCGTAATGGAGCTCAATGTGAGGGATGGGGAGCAGCTGTTTCTACAGATGAAGCTTTGCTCGCTGGCTGGCTGCTCACCTCCTGCTGTGCAGCCTGGTTCCAAACAGGAGGGAACCCCTGATTTATCCAGTAAGATAAATCCATTATGTAAGTTGACATTATTCGCCCTGCACCACCCAAATTATCTTGCATACCTACACCCCACACCTATACCTACCCAAGGGTCCCGTAGTGCACTTTGGGAGCTGGAGACAGTCAGCCTGGAGCTCCATTGCACACTCCCTCTCTCCACCATCTGTGGGCTAACAGGCTGTGTTAGTTTCCTAGGGCTGTTTTACAGGACCACAGACTGGGTACCCTCAACAACAGAATCTTACTGTCTCACAGTCCTGGAGGCCATGAGTCCAAGATCAAGGTGTCAGCAGGGTGGGTCCCTCTGAGGCTGTGCAGGAAGGCTCTGTTCCAGGCCCATCTCCTAGCATGTTGGTGGCCATCTTCTCCTTATGACTCTTCATTAAGGGTGATTACGTTGAGGGCTCAGAAGAGAAGGGCTGGACAGAATGTTGGAGCATATGGAGGGAGTCAGGCATGGTGACTCACACCTGAAATCTTAGCACTTTGGGAGGCCGAGGCGGGAGGACTGCTTGAGGCCAAGAGTTCAAGACCAACCTGGCCAAGATAGCAAGACCAAGTCTCAAAAAAAAAAAAAAAGAATATAGAAAAGAAAGGTCATTCTGATGAAGTCTCAGACTCAGATGGAAATAAAGAAGAGGTAAATGGAAACTGGAGGAAAGGTGAGTGATGCTTGCCATAAAGTGGCAAAGCACTAGTGTTTAGTGGCAGGCAAAACTTGTGAGTAATGAAACTGAAATTTGTCAGAAGAAATATCTAAGCAAACAAAGTATTGAAGGAGCAGTTTGATTCTTTTGAAGGTTTATAGGAAAATGAAAGAAAAGAAGAATGATTTAGAGACAGAACTTATAATCAAAAGAGAAGCAGAATTTACAAGATTCGGGAAATTTTTAGCCTTCTCAGTCTGTCCATATTGAACAGATAAGAAAGTGTGTTTGGGAGAGAACACGCGGGTGTGGGTCAGGAGGCCTGTGTGGATCAGGGCTGGGCTCCTCACAAGGACAATGGAAGAGAGACCCTGAAGGTATTTTGTAGATCACTCAGGCTGCACTCTCATCACAGGTCCATGGTGCCAGGGCACTGACGGGAGTACGGTTTCCAAGGTGGGCCCTGGGGACCTTGGGGCTTGCTGCCCAGCACTCCCTGAAGCCACTGGTTCCCACATTGTGCTGTGGTGCTTTCCTTGGCTGCTCCAACTGTTGCTCAATGGGCCCTGGTGGAGTGGGGAACATGATGTCACCCCTCCAGAGGGTACAGACAGAAAACTCTTCAGCAGCATCCACATGGTGCTCATTCTGCAGGTGCGCAGAGTGCAATAGCTGTGGGACATGGCTGCCTCCACCTACATTTCAAAGTATGTCCCAGAAAGCCTTGGGGTCAGGCAGAGAACTGCCACAGGGGAGGGACACCACAGAATGTCCCCACTAGGGCAATGCCCAGCAGAGCCGTGGGGAGGAGGCTAGCCCCAAGATTCCAGGATGGTAGAGCCAGCAGTGTGCAAGGCTACCCTGGGAGAGCCTCAGGCATCAAACTCCAACATGCAAGAGCTGCTGCCTGGGCTGCACCCAGCAAAGCCATGGGGGAAGGGCCACCTGAAGCCCTGGGCCACCCAATCACATCCTAGTATATCTGGAACATGGGCCATGGAGTCAAGGAAGGTTCTCAAGTTTTAAGATTAAATGTTCTTTTCCCTGTTGGATTTTGGACTCACTGGGGACAACCACCACCAAAACCACCAAAAGTTGAAAGCAAAAAACACAAAATAAACACCTTAACCCTATCCCTCCATTTAATGCAATTCAGGACTCCCACCAAGAAGAATTTCTCCATTTCTCAGCAAAGCTATAGGGCTGGTATTCAAACCCGCCTATAAGCGATGCTATTTCTTTTCCTTAGGTAATTATTTTCCCAGAACTCTTTGAAAAACAATTAAAATATTTTTGACCAAAAAATTAAACACATAAAGGAGACCATCTAGGCCTTTGCAGCATGTACCTCCAAACTCTTCCAGCCTGTACTCATTATCCACTTCCACATTTTTGCATATTTTTTAGAGCAGCATTCCACTTCCTGGTATCAAAAATCTATACGAGTTTGCTAGGGCTACCGTAACAATATACCACAGATGGAGGTCTCAAATAACAGAAATATTCTTTCTCACAGTTCCGGATCCCAGAAGTCCAAGACGAAGGTATCAGCAGAATTGGTTTCTTCTAAGGCCTGGCTCCTTGGCTTGTAAGTGGCCACCCTCTT